AACCCCTAGTAGATTCTCAATACAAATTATTAAATAAAGATAAAGACAAAACCTCACCTTAAAAAAAAAAAAAAAAATTCAGATTTATTAATTAGTATTTCAAATTAGGGTGTGGCGACTTAGTAAAGTGGTTAAGTTGTCGCATTCCCAAGCGATATGTTAAATAGATAGGAGGTTCGAAACCCACCAGTGACGAATTTTGAATATTCTATCTGTATGATGGCTATTGTCTTTCAACGATCAGTTGGAATGGAATTTCTGTAACCTTGGTAGCACCAACAAGATTGGGAGATCATGGGGCATTCATATAATATATAAGTTATACAAAAAAGTTTTGGATCATTGTAAACTCAAGAAACTGGAAGATGGATACCTGCTTGGCAAGACCTGAGTAGAGAGGTAGCACAGATCTTCAACGGTATTATATAAAAGATTATTACCGGATAACTGGCAAAAACCAAATAGGACAGGTGTATAGCAAAATACTCTACCAACCAGGCCGCCGGAACCGAGTTTGTCAGAACCAGAGGAAAAGGATCTGCTTAGTTGCAAATACCAGAGGGTAAACCCCTTCCGGGCTATTTGGATTGGTAGTTTGGGATAGTCAGAGACACGGTTGAGAGTCTGTAAAGTGGGTACTGGGGTTTGAGTGAACTCTACAAGGATGTAGTAGGTAACTAGTAGCAGCCTTGTGCTTGCAAGTACTTGTTTTTAGACTTAGCGTAAAGTCACTGAATCTAGATGAATCCGGATTGTGGGTCTGGACTGCTCTAGTGTTGATTTCTCGAAGATAAATTAGTTCTAAGGATAACAAAGATAAAGTATCTGGGACTTCTTGACTGACGAATATAATGGAGATGTTCTGGTGATACAAGTTTAGCTATATTACAGAGGGTTAAATGGGTAATACCCATAGTTGGGTTAAGGTATAGCATCTAGTGTAGAACCTGTATAATGTACAGGCGGACTACTTAAAATAGATACCAAAAGTGTACGTGTGGCTAGTATGTACTCTCTAATGTAAGGGTTCTTTAAAAGAATCACCTGCTAAATATACTTGAATAAAAATCTTAGCTCTCAAGAGGTAGATGTTAAAAAAAAAAAAAAAAAAAATGGTATTTCAGATTTATATATTAATATGATCTAATGTTTGTACACTCTTGGTTTATTTATCTCAATATTTGTTAATAGACAATCAGTATATTATATTACTACATGATTTAATATTGATTATCACATAATAGAAACATGCTTTTTGGCCTAAGAGCATGCCTTCAGGCATGCTCAAGGGCATGCCCAAAAGGTATGCCTTATGACTCTAACTCTACTTTCGATATCCAAATCAAAAGGATATTTTGAGAGTAATATCACTGTAGGTTTCTAGACAGAAATATTAAGTAGAAACTAAGGAACTAGACTATACAACTGTAATTCTTACAAGAAAAACCTCACATACTCTTGTTGGCCTACCACTTTTTTTTGAAAAATTTTGTAAAAAGTAGGCATTTTAGTTTATTATCTCTAAAAGATCAATATCATATACACCAAAATAGTCAGTATTATTTATTTTCTAAATTAGTACAACAGAACAACAAACACATCAAAGCATATGTCTCAAATACAACAATCTGATAAACAATACTCTGAGACTAGAATTGAATACTGACCCCTTATGATATATAGTCAAAGTATTTTTTTACTAGTTTTGAACTTCTATATACTATTTAGATAAATTTAGAGTAGAGACTATTTTATTTAGTAGTATATAATTTTTACAGGTCTTTCATGGGCTTATCATCAGGAAAAAAAATAGAGAGTTATATATCGATTGGTAACCGAAGGATATATAACGATACAAATCACCTCTGCCGATTTATAACGATTGTGATACTAATCGATATATAACGAAAAGAATATAAATCGATATATAACCTAAGACGATTATAATCGATATATAACCTAACACGATTCTAATCATTTTAGGTTATATATTGATTATAATCGATACATAGCCCTAAGACGATTCTAATCAATATGTACAGCTAAACTCATAATATTAGGATCGATATATACAAATCATTATATTAAATATTATAGCGATTCACTTTTATATTTATCAACTTAAAGCGAATAATATTTACATGTTTAAATTGAATACAATTTATTTTATACATATGAGATACATTTTGTATACAATACATAAAAAATTATAAAAAAAAACAACGCCACTAATAGATTCCAAACAATTTGTCCTGTGCATCCTGCAAAAGAATTAAAGAATTACTTCGGGACAGAGAAGTTGTATAGAGATCAAGTTCAGTGTTGGAATTGGCCTGCATTGATTGCGTTTGTGTTGATTGTTCAGCTTCGTGAGAGCCTGAAGCAAGCTCATTATTAATGATTGTGTTGGCTGATTCTTGATTAGGACCGCTGTTATCAAAGTCATTCTAGTATAATAAAGGTTAATATTTATTTTGTAGTTACAATCGATATGTTACAAATACTTACCA